CACCCCGCGGGGAGCGGGGCCGCCGGGCCCTGCTTGGATCTGAGGTTGCTTGTTTTGATTTTTTTTTTTCCCATTGTCACTGGGGTGATTATTTAAATCTCCATCTTGGAAAGTTGCATTTCACCCAGGGCGGCCAGGCAGAGATTTCCCGGAGACAGCGTGTGCAGAGAGCCCTGCGTCCCCTCCCCGCAGCTACATCCTATCTCCTCTCTCCCTTTGTTGGCAGATTTGGGCATTTAAAAAAAAAAAAAAAAAGATGCGAGGGTTTGTTCTGCCCGAAAGCCGGCAGGGCCCGGCCCCGCTCTCTCTGCACCTGCCTGCCGGGGAGTCCTCCCGTCCCAGTCCCGTGCGGCAGCTTTACGGGGCTTTGCATGATTTAAAATTACCCAGGCACATCGGGGACACGGCCGCTCCTCTCCGCCGACTCTTTCACCCCTTCGCCTTTTTTTTTTTTTTTTTTTTTTTTTTTTTTTTTTTTTTTTTTTTTTTTTCCTTCTGTTTTTGTATGTGCTAAGTTCCCCTCTTTATCCTCCTTTTGCTTTGGGGTGCTCAGGCTGGAAGGCAAGAAAAAAAAAATATAAAAAAAGAGAAGCGTCCGGGAGCGAAGCCTGCCTGGATTTGGTGCGATTTCAATAAGAAAAGCGATTTCACTAAGGGGGTGCGAGTTTCGGGTGCGGGGATTGTTCTTCCCCGGCGCACGGAGCATCTTTATTAAAACGCAAATAGTTTTTCCTCGGAAGTCTGATAAGCTCCGGCCTGGCTCAGCCCCGCGGCTCGCAGGGACAGGCGGCCGCTGGGCACCGCCGCTGCCGGGCGTGAATCGAGTCCCCTTCTCCGTGCTGGCTCCGTCCCTCCCCAGCAAAGTTTTGCCTGAGGAGACACAAATCAAACCTGAGGGGTCGGCCTCCCTCCTACAACAGCTGCTCCCGAGATAACCTTGAAAGAAAAAAAAAAATATCCATACATAAAATTAAAGAGAGATCTTGCAAACGAAATCTTTCCTATCAGCTCCTGAAAAAATAAATTTATACTTTTTTCTGGACAAAGCTGCGCGTGTGCAACCTCCCCCTTCCCCACGCACGCCGTTCTCTTCGGGAACTTACACAAAAGGCGGTTTTGTGGGCAGGCTGGGGTCTACTTGAGGCTTTTCCTCCCCTTTATTTTGCAGCCTAGCGAGCCGGGGGGCTGCGGGCACCAGGCAAATTGCGACAAAGCGCAGGTGAAGGCGTGTGCGGGAGCGAGACAGGGACCGAGGCTTCCCACGGTGCGGTCCGTACCCCGCAGAAATCCTCTGAGGGATGGGGGATAGAGTATTCACAAAAACAAGCAAAAAAATTAATTTTCCGTGAGTTATTCCCCAGTCGTTTTTCTCGCGCTTTTCTCCCTTTTTTTTTTTTTTTTCTTTTTATTTTTCCTTAATTCAGTTTAAGTAAGGGTCTTGTGGTTACGAGATAACGGTGTCACTTTATAACCCTATCAGGAGCCATTAATAGGTGCTAGTAACACAGGACGGGGGATCCGGGGGAGAAGAAAAGCAAAGCGGAGACAAGACCAGAGGGCCGAAAACACCGAGAATTTTTTATTTTTTTTTAATTTTTTTTTTAAGGGCAGAAAGCAAGAACTTTCTCTCCCCGAAAAAAATCCAAAGAAATATACCCGAGAGGGGTGTGGGTGCTGCTTGCAGGGACCGGCTGTCCGGGGCTCCTGGCCGGTCCCCAAGCTGCGGGACGCCCACCGCAGTCCCTGGCAGCCCCTCCCCAGCGGGAGCAGCCGCGTTCCCCAGCACGCCCGGGGCTCGCACATCGCCCGCCGGCCCCGGCCCCTAAGCGCTGAGCACTTCTCTCCCTCTTCTTTCTTTCTTTCTTTCCACGGAGTTTTCCTGCCCTCCCTTGCGTCTCACATGCTTGCGTCTGTGGGTCGCACCTCGCAGAGCAGAGCTGCACGGGAGGTCTCGGCTCCCCGCTCATCCGGGGAGAGTGTGGCCCTCGGGGGCCGCAGCGACACCCCAGGAAGGGCTGGCTGGAGGAGCGTGCCCTGGGCTCTGCGGGTTCTCCTCAGGTACAAATTTTCCCAGATCCAAACACCCAGGATGAAGGGGGGAAAAAAGAAGAAGAATCTCCTGTCCGGACATGTAAATAAATGGTCCGTGTGCGGCGTCGGCTTAATTTGTTTTTTGCCTTCTCATCTGCTCAAGAATAGGTGTCAACTCCATCACATGGCACTACTAACTGTTGCTAAAACATGTTGTCGTCTCCCCCCTCCCTTAACGATATGACATCACTTGTCAATCAAATCAAAATAACCAGTTGTGCTTCTAGATCTGCGAAAGCTCCCTTATTAAAAGAGAAAAATAAATTGCAACAGCAATAAAAAAAAAAAACAAACCAAAAAAACAAAGTTAATAAAAGGGAGCCCGTAGTGCCCGGGGGAAGAAGGGGGAAAAGAAGGTAAAAGGGGGTTGGCAGGCGCGGGGTGAAGGAAAGACCAGACCCTCTCCCGGGGAGCTTTGGCAGAAAATTGAGGGAAGAGCTGCTTAAGCAGCCGTGAGCGGCGGGCTGCGGAGCGGAGCTAAGCCGCTCGCCTCCAGCAGCCAGCGCAGTTCGCTGCTGCTCCCGGTGGGTAAATTAATTCAATTAAAAACCTCAGCCCTGCCGCCGGGGCCGAGACCAGAGCCGGCACTCCGTTCGCCAGAACAAGGCAGCGGGGACGGGACACGTCGGGAGTTAAAAATCCATACAATTAAATAAAATTATAAAATAGAACAAAATAAACCGGCGTACTGCGAGCTGGCCGGCTAGGAAGTCTCCCAGCTCAGCCGGTCTCTCAGCAGAAATCTTTCATCCCTGCTGGAGGGGTCATTTATTTTACAAAGGGTTTTAATGGGAGGGGTTGCAGGAGGCGAGAGGTGGGTGCGAGGAGAGGCGCCGGCCGGAGGGGGAGAGCAGCCGGCGGGGGGGGTTGGGAGCCGGACCCCCGGGCCGGA